TTTTTTATTTAAAATAAATAATAATAACAATAATCGTTTTATTTAGATTACGTTGTTTTCGTAATCGTTGCAAGCCATAATCGTAATCGCGATTAAAATACGATTAATTGAGCAGCCCTATTGCATGGTACAGAAAGACAAACTGTAATTGGACGTGCAAAGCAGAGGTTGTGGTAGTTGCATTTATGCCTGATTGGCAGTATTTTCCTAAATATATGCCTCTTTTTTATCTATACAAACCTAAAGGCTTTGAGGACAAGGAATGATTGATGTGTTTGGCAAACCAAATGCTATCCAGTAAAGTTGACTTGGGTTACTGGAGTGTCAAATCCAATAAAGAGCATGATAATGCTGCTAACACTGGCTTCAACTAGTATCATTTAGGACTCCAGCATTAAATACAGCCTTTGGGGTTCATGGACAACATTTTGTGGGTTTCAGATAAAAGATTTACTCTTCTATATGCCCATTTTGTTAAGAATATGAGAAGCTATTACCTTGCAAGGACTGAGTTACAGTTTGAAGGACGTCTATGACATGATTGTTTCAGGTAGCCAGTTTCCACTAAGTTAACACTTATATAAATAATGATAAAAAGTTGTCAGACAATATTCAAAGGATTCCAATATTGTATTTCAGTCAATGCGCTATACCACTTTAGCTTTCAACATGTATTATTGACCTGCATGCAACCACAGCTAGCATAAATAGGATTGGTTCATACTACTGAAACTAAAAACTAAAATGTCCTGTCTTAATGAGTCCATATGCAGATATATTTTCATGGGAATACACAATGGATGAGTATGAGATGAGATTCAGTACTGGCCTAGCGATTAAACTACAAAGTAATCTAGTTAGCCAGACATGCTAATGTTTGCAGCTTACAACGCAGAAGCAGATACACAGGTTTTAATCCACTTCTGATGCTTTTGCTCTTGTTCTTTTGGTTTTGATAGGCATTAAGCACCTTTGGATAACAAGCAGTGTTCTTACTAGAGCTTAACAGGCCTGCTCTGCCTGGTTACGCTTGCTAAGCTATGATTGGAGAATCACTGTTCTGGTTGTTAGCAAGCTGTCAACTTAAAGCAAGGAGGACATTTAACAGAGAGACTTTGATCAGCAGCATCGTCTAGCACCATAACACTACCTGCGCTCAGTCATTGACATCAGAAGTCTTTTGTTTTCATGTAAGTAGAATATATCATGCAGGAGAGCTTAATACGACACTGGAGCCTCAATTGAGATACGATTGATTAGCAGATCATTTGCTTCTTCAGTTATCACACACTAATTGTAATACTCTCTCTCTTCCTGCTCTGAAATCCACCATCGGCCTAAATCAGCTTCACCTTCTCGTTAAATTGAGCTTATTGATCTTAAATATGACCAGAGGGCGGTCATTTCTTCTGTTCATTGATGTTACTGGAGAGCAATTGATCTGATCAAAGGACAGCAGGCTATGATACTGTAGGAAGTCCTTAGAGAGCAGATCTGGAGTAATTTGATTACATCCAGAAATTAACCATCTCCTATTTTACTGCCGTAGAAATAGAGAGTTTGACAGGCCAAGTCACGTCCGGTTAGAAGTACACCCTCATCAGAAAGAAAGGATTCACTGTGGCGCGTCTCTGTGTCTTACAGATGTAGTGTCGTACATTTCAAAGAGTTTCAGCAGGATGGCAGTAACAAGGATGATAACAGAGTTTAATAAGACTTTGCAGTAGTTTCCATGAGTGCCATCCAACATGGAGAGTTAGGTAATGTGATCAAAGAGTTATCAGATCGTGGCTCCCTTGTCACTGAGAATTAAATCTCACTGTCTCTTAAATCTATTTCCTCGCTGGTTCAGTGGGTTACTTCACAGGCATGTGGTCAATTGAAGAATCACTCATTGAGAAACTTGTTTGCCAAGTTTTTTAATCAAGTGTTGGGTCTTAGAATGATGTTATTTATTTGAAACAAATCGGATGGAGAAATAGAGAGTTTGATTTCTGTTCAATTGGTATTTGTTGGGAAATTTGGAGTATCCTGTGTTGTCTTTGTCTGAAGACACATATAATTCAACCCAGTCTCACTGCATTTCGTGTTATAGTTACGAAATTAATTTGATCTATTGATTCGTGTTCGCCAACACGATTTTTGCATTTTTTTCGTGTCACACAGAGCGATAAAAGCAATGTATTTCTATTGGTAGTATGTTTCGTGCCTGCACCACGTCTTTTTGTCCGGTCGGGTCTTGGAAGACCAGAAGCTGTGTGGTTCATAAAAACATTTTCTTACTCAATATCTTACCCTAACCCTTTTATTTTAAATTGTATAATATCAGAGTTTTTTGCCGTCCGCAAGGAAAAGAAATGGGGCTCAGAGCCTCAGAATACTGAAATCTGTATTTTTTTAAAAGACATTTCCTTCTAATTTGTTATTATTTGGTGCAGGCATGAAACATACTACCAATAGAAATATATTGCTTCTAAAATCGTTCTGTGTCAGAATACTGAAATCTGTGTTTTTTTAAATCTCTTTTTCCTTCAAATTTGTACAATGCTTTTAAAATCGTTCTGTGTGACACGAAAAAAATGCGAAAATCGTGTTGGTGAACACGAATCAATAGATACATTTTGTGACTATAACACGAAATGCCGTGAGACTGTGTTGTATAATTCCTGATCGGTGACATTACCATGCAGCATCTCCATCTGTCTTTAACTAATAAGGCAAACGTTTGGGAAATAAGATCGATGCCACAGTAAATAAGATTTCAAGCTTCACATATGCTAGTTAGCTTAGCTTAGCTTAGCATAAAGACAGGAAGCAGGGGGACGAGCTAGTATTGCTCAAAACGATCTGTTTCATATAAAAAAACATTATAGAGGGGTGGTATATTCCTTACAAACTAAATGTAAAAGTATTCTTGTCACCTTGAAGTTGCAAGGATACAAGCAGGGAATTCAGGAAGTAATGGTTCCTGGTAAAAAAAAATGTTTTGCATATACATGTAGCCTACGTCCTCTCTGAAACCACAACTTCTTGGTTCATAATCTTACTATTGTGTGCAGAAGATGGAATTGTATTGTGGTAATTCATTATTTTGCATTCTAGTAGATGGATTTTGATACTTTCAGATGGAAGCTTAGCTAACCGGCTGCTGATCAAAGCCTTATGTTTAAAGGGAAAGTGGAATTTATCTTTTAATTAAACACGTTAATAAGCCAGAATTCCACACTATTATAGAAAACAGCTTATAATACTGATTTTCTGTCATTTATTTCTTGGCTAGATTGAACCTACTTCTTGCTATATCAGGATCCTTTGTCATGCCATGTGCTCCTTTAACAGGATCTTCTCCTCTTTGAAAGATTAAATGTACTTTTGGGGACATTTCTAACAATACTCCCTTAAAATCCACAAGATTACCAGGCAGGCGGAGACGGATTACATCTTGAAAATCGAAATTAACTCAACTCCAGCTATATTAGTAATTGTCTGACTTTTAAATTCCAATGAAAACTAAAGGACTTTAAACGGTAAGGATGAAAGCTGAAGTGCCAGATGTTTGAGTGGCAGATGTCACCTCTGGACAGATGGGTTTCAGCCAGTCAACAAGATTACGGGTGTTGAGATT